GAGCTGGAAGCTGAGAACTGGCGACTTTCTAGTACAACTTTAGTACGAGGAGCAATCTGCAGAGCTGGAAGCTGAGAACTGGCGATGTTGTAGTACAACTTTAGTGCGCGGAGCAATCTGTAGAGCTGGAAGCTGAGAACTGGCGACTTTCTAGTGCAACTTGAGTACGCGGAGCAATCTGTAGAGCTGAAAGCTGAGAACTGGCGACGTTGTAGTACAACTTTAGTACGCGGAGAAACCTGTGGAGCTGGACGCTGAGAACTGGCGACTTTGTAGTACAACTTTAGTACGCGGAGTGACTGGGGAGCTGGAGGCTGAGAACTGGCGACTATGTAGTACAACTTTAGTATGCGGAGCAACCTGTGGAGCTGGAAGCTGAGAACTGGCCATTTTGCAGTACAACTTTAGTACGCGGAGGAGTCATCTCTTGCGACTGAGTCATCACTCGCTGCTGAGTCATCTCTCGCTGCTGAGTCATCTCTCACTGCTGAGTTATCTCTCGCTGCTGAGTCATGTCTCGCTCCTGAGTCATCTCTCCCTGCTGAGTCATCTCTCGCTGCTGAGTCATCTCTCGCTGCTAAGTCATTTCCCGCTGCTGAGTCATCTCTCGCGACTGAGTCATCTGTCGCTGCTGAGTCATCTCTCGCGACTGAGTCGTCTCTCGCTGCTGAGTCATCTGTGGTTGCTGAGTCATCTCTCATTGCTGAGTCATCTCTCGCTGCCCACTCATCATACACCACTCAACATACACCACTCGTCATACACCACTCGTCATACACCCCTCATCATACAAGACTCATCATACATCACTCATCATACACCACTCATCATAACCCAACACTGGTTACAGTTGATTGTTTTGTCAACAGGTGAGTTTGTACTGAAGGTTGAAGTCTGGAGCGCGTGAATTTGACTGGGGGACGCCCGTGTTTGAAAGAACCGGAACACTCCTATAGGTCAATTTGTTCTTATAGGAAACTTCCGCCGCCGGCTTGCCCCGGAACTGCTTGTATTAACTTACTGTAAATAGTAATTGCGCAACAAGGTGACCCTGGCTCGATCATCAATATTGGTGGAAAAGTTTCGGGTTAGTTCACAGCATGATGGCGATGGTCTCGACCTCCTGATGCAATGGATTGGCGGATGTTTCGACATCACGATGGTTGCCGCAATGGATGGATGGATGGATGGATGGATGGATGGATGGATGGATGGATGGATGGATGGATGGATGCGCTCTCACGAAGCATGAAATTGGACGATCTCTGGATCACAAGGTTGTATCCAATCAAGACCATGTCCATATTGGAGTGTTTTTGATATAGATAGACCACTACTGGCGGTGGGATGGTACTTCGTTGCTGCTCTATTTTGAGGACACCTGTCCACAAGCTGGCTGCTCTCCAAGACACGTCCCGGACTGTCATCCCGCCAATTACTCCAAGCATCTCGGAGCCCTCTGTCAGTTTCTTTATGTCATTATCGCTTTTAGGGCGGAGGCCATCGCTATAACTATATTGTGTTCTTTACTTTGTTCAATTGTTCTATTCAGTATATGTTTCTTTCATCGGTGCCATGAGCACGATTGCTTTAACAGCTTTTCACGAAGGTGGATGTGCCCCCTCTCCATCTTTCACAACCCTCGCGCAAACCCCAACAAATCATCTGATCATGTTGGCCCTGGAGCCCATAGCACTCAAGTTAGCCATTAGCAGCCATGTCTTTAGCAAGAGATGAGCGCAATATGGGGAATAGACTGATCACTGATCACCTAGTCGGATAGATATTCTAGATTGCATGAGGTCCGAATCACTCAGACACACAAGATCAACTGTATCCTGGAGTCTTGGAACATAATTCCTGTTGAGATTGGCCATCGATTGGGACTCTGACTACTCATGAGTGTGCCAGGTGATTCTTCTATTGTGATGGCCAATATTCAAGGGATGATGCAATGCATTGCAAAACCCACATACAGCAAACTATGTACCATGCATTCTGGCCAAATGGGATCATGAGTTGCAGTGGGACATGTTTGCAAGTGAGCAAACGAACAGCTGAACGGCATTTTAACTTTGCATGCAAATTTATATATTTAGGACCAAAAATCCTAGGTGTCCCGCAGGAAATTCAAAGTGGCACAACCTTTTGGATGTAGGGATCTGCGCACCTCGCTAGCATCTTCTTCGCCGCGAGGTGTATTGGGCAATGGTGCGTGCTGCACCTGGCTTCCGGTCAGTCGTCAGTGTGCTCAACACTGTCGAGGCAAAGCACTTCCTGTCAGTCCTGTGCTGCACTTCATACTGCAGAGAACTGAGATTCCCACCGAGGAAGTGGCGCGTGAGAGACCAAAGTCACAAATCTTTACCGAGCAATCCTGATCGAGTCTGTACATCAAACACGCACTGCTAAAGTGATCTGCGGGTCCTGGTTTACCAGGCAATTTGCTGGTTTCAGATCCTAGGCAGGGGTCAGGACTGCTCAGGACTGCTGTGTTGGATCAAAAAATAGTGCTGAGGCGGGAACTCTGTGCCAAATCCCTGCGGAATGTAGATACTTCATCCCTTAATGCACGTGTTCTGGACAGAGGCCAAAGGACCAACAATTACCAAAAGCAAGAAAAAACTTATTGAAAAGGTTGCTTTGAGGCTCAAACCCACCAACAAGTTGTAGAGTAGAGTATTAATGTGGAGCGGCGTGAGAAGAACATCGGTTTTGATCAACTTCTTCATGTCCGAATCACAGAGCCTCAACAGTTCGCAAAAATAATCAAAAACGAACTATCTATCTATATATACACTGCTAGCACGTTACGAAACTGCACTGTGCTTGCACTGCTAGCACGGTTGTGGTTTGGAACTCCTTTCGGTTCGAGGCCGGGGCTCCATAACTATGTACAGCTCATCGAAACTTCTCATGTGTGATGGCCTGAATGCTCGCGAGTACAAAAGCTTCTGCGAGATAGCTCATGTCCGTATCAGCTTGTTCAAGGAGCGAACTCGATGATGTCATAGATCTGAACAATGTGAGGATGACTAAGCCTGGTCAAACAGCTGTTGCCGAGGCTTCCAAGTAAATGATCGCAGCATTCAAGGCTGTAGAGTAGTGACATGACAGCCTTGTCATTATGGCGGTTTCCCGCAGGATGCGCTTGCAGTCCACCAAGTCATCAAACATGTGTTTGACCTAGTAATCTGAAGTGGGGCCACCAAAGATTTGCCAAGCATTTTGTGCATTTATTACAAAATCACTTGCGGAAAGGCATATTGCAAAAGGCTCCGACCCGCTTGATGGCCACATTCTGATCACGCTCTTTGTCGTACGCCTCACCTTGCTCTGCAGGCTAAGTTTGTACATATTCAAAGTTTGAAGCACATGCTGCATACTGCTGCTAGGCTGCTACCAATGCGTACGTATTCAGTAGATTCAACGGATTCTGGAGATTTATAGATAGTGATGACTTGGGTACTGGAGGTACAAATACAGCTGGATACAAATACAAGCAGAAATGTGGACTCATATTGCATGCTGACAAAGCTGCAGTGTTTGAGATGTTTTAGGTAGTGACATGTAATGTCACTTGAGCCTGGTGCTCTTAGCGGCCTGAGGATTCTGCAAACACTGCCATAGGAGCCAGATCCGATTATGTTCTTGACTTCGTAACGCGACCTGACACATCACACGACAGTTCAAGTCTCCTCTGGATTGCTCAGCTTAAGTCTCTCTGGATGAAGATGGTGAAGGCATGTGAAGGCATATATGTGAAGGATTTTACTACGGACCAGGCGAGACATGCCACTGTCCTGCTCTGGGAATGACCGGCATTTCTACGTCGGCAAGATGCCTCTTGAGCCAGTCAGCGAGGCACACCGCGCTATCAAGGCCAGGGTAGCTCAAAGCAATCCGCATTGGTAGCTAAAGCGATTTTTAGCCCGGGGGGGGTAGGCCACTAGTAGAGATAGGTAGCTAGCTATATAGGTAGCTAAAGTAGCTAGGATGCAGGATAGTTCACGCTTCTTCAAGCAAGCTCCCCCCCGCTCATCAGACTGTCGTTTTTCCTCTCTGGCTGCGCCGCTCCGGCAGGTCCAAAGATAAACTGCATCTGCATTTGTTGCACAAAGCGGTCGGGCACCTGCAGCATTCCATCCGTCAATTGCCAATCCTACCCATCCACATCCCCTGCCTGCGATTCAACGAACCAGCTCTACAGCCGCATTGATTCGTGGTGGCCTGCACTGCGGGTACAGCACTGCAAGAAGAAGAGGTCAGTGGATCAAAGCAACAAAATGAATTCCAGCCTTCCAGGTCCACCATTCTGAAACGTTATTCCTGCCCACTGGCCTAGAGCTCAAGCAAACAACTAGAGTGATTCACACACACACACATCTGTCATGGTATCACTAAAACAGAACTTGGCCCACTAAGATTGTGCTGCAAGTCTCAAATTCCTATCACGCCACATACGGGCAAACCTCTGGAACTGCACAGCAAGCTCAGCAGCAAGGATGGGGTGGAGAGTCTATTGGGGTCAAAGTGAGCGATTGAGTTTCACCCGTTTCACCCGTGCTACACGTCTGCACTAGATTGCACACTTTTCAAAGTCACACAAACATCCGGAGAATGGTATATAAAACATTAACCCAGCGGACAACTCCAATAGCAAAGCATCCGTTGCATCATTCTTTCACATATTGATCATCGAGGACAATTTTTAAAAGACACAACGAAATGAAATGCATTCCAATAGTCTATACCACTTGAGGAATGTTCGGTGATCGCCGAACTGTATGTTCAAGTGCTCAAGTGTCTGCACATGGTGCATACGTCTGAAGAACCAAGTTTGTACAGCACAACAACAAAAGATTCGCACCAAAGAGGAGTGTGTATATATTGTTCGCATATGCGTGCAAGTTCAATTCTGACAAATAATGAAATGAAAAAAGATGATATATACAGATGATAAGAAGATATTTTCACCAAACCAGACAGAAAGTGCACTTAAAAACGAACGCATACTTCATACACGAAAGGTACAATGAATGCAGTAATGAATGCAGTTGTCAGAGAGACCATACTTTAAGCTCTGGCACCAGGGAAGGTACACTTTTGGATACGTGCGCGCATTGTTTTTACAAAGTATTGGCAAACAAAGAGGACGCTTATCGAAAGTAAGCGGAAAAAAACTACATCTAAGCAGTGGATGTACACGAACGATGCAAGAAGCGCAGTGTTAAGCAAGCAGATTTGGCAGATTTGCACACCTCGAAAATAACTTTACATTTTGACATGCAATCGTAAAACTTTGACGCCGCAAAGTTACAAACAAGATCAAACAAGTCCAGCCCCCAGCCAAACGCATGTTCCGTTGACCACGAAGCACTTAACAAAGGTTGCGAGTATATTTCTGGATTTTTTTCGTTTTTTCCCCAGATAGCTGGAAGCTATAGGGGTTCTTACTTCTCAATGGATGGGTTCCGGATTGCGGAAATTGGCTGCCGCTGCCGCCTGGTCTCCCAAGCTTGTCTCCCTTCATGATTTCGCTCTTGGCTGCCGCTGCCGCCTTGTCTCCCAAGCTTGTCTCCCTTCATGATTTCGCTTTTGGCTGCCGCTGCCGCCTTGTCTCTCAAGCTTGTCTCCCTTCATGATTTCGCTCTTGGCTGCCGCTGCCCTCTTGTTTCTCAAGCTTGTCTCCCTGCATAACTTCGCTCTTGGCTGCCGCCGCCGGCTTGCCTCCCAAGCTTGTCTCCCTTCATGATTTCGCTCTTGGCTGCCGCTGCCGCCTTGTCATATTCTTGCCTGCCTTTGACGCGGATGCTGTTATAAGATGATTTATGTTCACCTTTTCCATCCTTTCCCCGGCTTTGAGTGGGATGTCTCCCAAGCTTGTCTCCCGCTCTTGCCATGGTGTCCAACTTTTCTTGAAGTGCTATCTGGGGTCTATGCCGGTATAATTTTTGGATTTCTTTTTGTTTTTCGTGTTTCGCGGCAGGCGCAGTACTTTGTGGACCTTGCAAAGCACATTTCGTGGGAGGTGCAGGACTTTGCGGGCCTTGGAGTGCAGAGTTTGTGGCGGGCGCAGGACTTTTTGTGGGCCTTGAAGTGCAGATTTCGTGGCAGGCGTAGTACTTTGTGGCCCTTGGAGTGCAGATTTTGTGCCAGGCGCAGGACTTTGTGGACCTTGAAGTGCAGATTTCGTGGCAGATGCAGGACTTTGTGGGTGTGGAAGTGTAGAGTTGGTGGCAGGTGCAGGACTTTGTGGGCCAGATTTCGTGGCAGGCGCAAGACTTTGTGGACCTTGAAGTGCAGATTTCGTGGCAGGTGCAGTACTTTGTGGATGTTGAACTAAATGGATAGATAGATAGATAGATTAGATTAGATTAGATTAGATTAGATTAGATTAGAGTAGAGTAGAGTAGATAAGATAAGATAAGATAAGACAAGATAAGATAGATAGATAGATAGAGGAGGCATATTTGCTTGGTTAGAAAGTTTTGCACCGGGGAGTTCACCTTAAAATATTGATTTCGTGGCAGGGGCGGAGCTCGTGCTTGCTTGCTTGCTTCCTTGTTTGGTTTCGTCTCTGCAACGAAAACAACAGGAAAAGCAAATACAAAAAGAGAAAGGAGAACAGCTGCCAAAAGAAAGAAAGAAAGATAGATAGATAGATAAATAGATAGGTATAGACAGATAGATGGATAGACCAAAAAGCCAAAAGCCACAAAAGCCAAAAGCCACAGAAGCCACGAAAGCCACGAAAGCCAAAAGCCACAAAAGCCAGAAGCCACAGAAGCCAAAAGCGACAAAAGCCAGAAGCCACGAAAAACAAAAAAAATCCAAAAAAGAAACAAAAAAATCCAAAAATAAATACCCCCCCCTTAACACATGTTTGCCGATGGTCCAATTGTTTGTTCGAGTGCCTGCACAAAAGTCCATACATCTCAAGAACCTATTCAACACAACACAACACCATAAGATTCGCGCGGAGGAAGAAAGGCTATTGAATATCTAGGCGCACAATCCCTACTCGAACAGAGAAAAGAGTGGATAAAAGTTCTTACAGATGACAGGAACTTATAATTACTCCCAAAGGCAGAGGAAAATGCATTGAATGACAAACGCGCCAAAGGTGCACTGAACGCAGCACACAGTTACAAGTACTAGCCAGCTAAAAGTTTCTACAAAACCAAAACAAGGGACGCTCCTCTCAAGCGAAACAGTTTTTATACACGGCGACGCATAATCTATACATTAGGCGCGACATGATGCTTAAGCGCCAGCACGCAATGTGCACCGGGTGTATGCACACGCAAGCACACGGTATAAGCAGCCGAGACACAACCACAGCATAAGCGAGACACATCCAAAAATATCCGCGAACAACCGCCACAGAACCGATGCACCACCAAAACAGCAAAACGCAACAAAAACACCACGAAAACAACCGGCACATCACCCAAACATGAGCGAGACACCGAAACATGACCGACTCACCGAACATGACCGAGACACCGCATTAACATCACCGAGACACCACCTCATGACCGAGACCCCACCTAGACATCACCGGACCAAGACGCCACCTAAACATCACCGAGACACCACCTGAGCATGACAGAGAGACCACGTAAACATGACCAAGACACCACCGAAACATGACCGAGAGGGACACCACCGCCCAGGCTGGGGGCGTGGATCCGACCGACGGCACCCAGCCGCCTAAAGAGTGTACAACCCCAAGCTATCGCTATTGGGGAATAAGTTCGAAGCCGTTTTCACAGTTTCTAGGAAGCTTCAAAAACATACTGTACTTGAAAGCTTCATTGTTACTACAGGTGAAACGATTCCCAGTGAAATGATTCCAAATGCCGATCCTTTCGTTGGGATTCACTGAGCTCAAGACCCTCTGCCAGCATCCACTTAAGCTCGTGCCTCGCTACACATGAAGGCTCCGCGGAAACAACCAGACAAAACATCTATGGATGGGTGAGACCCCAAGTTGCTGGCAGGATAGAAGTCTTGTTATGCCAAGCTCCGCTTGCCGTGATGGCATACCCTGGCAATTGAAAATGCAAGAAAGCAATATCGACACAGACTTTTGAAGTCCAGGCAGGGAACTCTGTCATCAAGATCTGAGGGGCACGGTTCAAGGGAACAAATCTAGGTTCATGGACAAAAGT